CATCTGTATCCACTTAGAATCACTCCTTTCCCTGCAGTACTGAACAGGCACTTGGCCAATATGAAATTTGGGGATATTACAAAAATAGATAACTGCAGTTTGTGTGATTTTCCATCTATTTCGGGGGGTTTGACAAGAAGCACAGGCAGAGAGGAGCAACTCTTGACAGTTCTGAGATGATGGGTGCATTAAGGAAAGAAAGCTTATCAATAATAGTTACATTTAGATTATTAATTCATCCTTTATCAGAGAATAACACCCAATCCTGTTATTATCTTAGCTTGGATGAGCCTGTATGTTCTGCACTACAGTACAGACCATGTACAATAGTTGAGTCATACTCATGCATATTCAAGTTGAATCATCACAATTATGTTTCACTGGATTCCAGTAGTTTTCAAGCCTATTCTTAAAATAATCACATCCAGAATTTGTGCAGTGAACTGTATCTTTGCATCCACACATGGTGACGTAGCTGATTCCCCAGTGAGCTGTACGATATTATATGGAATTGACAGAAATTTAGAAATGTTGAAGAGCAGGCAGGAGGGTATTAGTGGATGATGGCGTGGTTAAAAAGTCGATTTTTTTAAATGTATTCATCCACATTTGAATTGTTGAAATGTTTATGTACACACTGTGGTGCTGCAGCACTACAAAATATGACTTGCAAGCACTGTACACACACACACAAACACACACTCTACAATATTCCACTATCTCTGTCTCTTTCAATCCCTATGTCCAGAAATACATGGAGAGCTCAGAGGTCTATTTCTGACTCACTTTGACGCTAAAGTCAGTCAGGCATTGCTGATGATGACACACATGCACTCACACGCGCACACACACACGCGTGCCTGCTCACACACACACACACACACACACACCCTAGGCTAGGTAATACATTTGTTTTAAGGCATTCTCCTGACGATGCAAAATGAGACGCTGCCCACTCTGTTTCCCAGCGCTCTGACAACAACCAGAAACTTCCAGCCCTGATTCACTGTGGACAGGCTTTAAAATCAGGCTCATTCCTTTAAAAAATCCTTGGCCCACTTCTTACATGCTATTGCCCTGAATTATAATTTACATAAAACTTGTTGCCATAGCAGCAAAAACCCCTATGTTACCTCCTTTTTGACAGAGGCACTACAATAAAAGGCAAAACCATCAGAGAGAGTATAACTTATGAAATACGGCTTTCCAAAAAATTATGACAGCAAAATCCTCGCCGAGCCCAAACTACACAAAAGGGCCGGAAAGCGGCTTTGTGGGATTAAAAATTACTGCGAGAAGTCTTAAATAACAGCGGCAGCAAACAGGTCCCGCATCACAAATCATGAAACTCAATGCCACGGGAGAAGAGCAATCAATGACTGATTTACTGACAAAGCATGAAGTCCCTGCAAAAGCGTATGGAGCCAATGCTTGAGTCAAAGCTGATCTGACAACACTGCTGCATGCTGTACTTTCTGTATTGGTGCATTTCTAAAGAGCAGATAATCATCAGAAATCAGGAAATTCAAAGAGGAAGAGGCCAGTTAAGAAAAAAAAAAGCCCTAAAATATGACAAGAAAGGGAAGGAGAAATTCAGGAGTGTCAGAACTAAAAAGGAAACTGATAATGATATGCAAAGTAAGAACACAAAAAGACACTCAGGATTAAAGTAGGCCAGTCAAAGTATGAGATAAAAAATTCAGATGCCTCAATCACTCTTGAGTCATCCTCAGACACAGCGAGGTGGAAATCAGTCAGCTCGTAATGTGTCGGAGAGCTGCTCCGAGAGGTTTCAAGGTTGCTATTTATTCCTGAACGCAGCTCTGGCCCCACAGAGATCAGCGGTCAGTGAGAGCAGATGGCCTGCATACTATCGGCCCATTCCCCTGCTTTGTTGCGGCTTAATACAACAAGGCACGGGAGATGCGAGGCTCAGATGTGATGCCTGTGGGAATCATGTGACTTGACATGTGAAAATGCCATTCACCATTGTTTGAGATGGTAAATGCTACATGAAAATACTCGGCTTTTACCTTGTAATATTCAAATAAATGTATAAATCTACAATATATTCAATTGAACTAGGTTTAATATTGTATTTTTATTTTTAATTCAAATAAAGCTGATGAACTGAGAACTTTTCATGAGCAATTTTGTGATCACTATGCTTGAAATTCCTATTATTCGAGGGTTCACTTGATGTCCGTCACAGGCAAATGTATCATGTACTGTGTGACATGTCAACTCAGTAATCTCTGATGCACTCATCCAAGTGCCCAACCCCTTCACAGCCACAGAGGATGCCCCTAAATCTGGCCCTGAACTGAGATATCACATGGACAAACACCAAAACACTCCCTATTACAGTACACAGCCCTACAACACTCTCTGCATGATGATGCATTCAATGTTAATAATGTAACACAAGTAATCCACTGTAGAGGTTTACAAAAGCTTCGACATGCCTCGCCTGTCTCTCAAAGAAATGACCTTAAATGTGAAAGACATGATTTGTGCATGGGCATAGATTTCAGGGGACACATAACCCTCAATATTTATAACATGTTCATTTGTCCCCCTAAGTTAGATAAATGAAAGTATCAGAAGGTTTTTGTTGTGACAACTCCATAAACAGATGCAGAAAATGTACAAAATGGTGCATAAACATTCACCAGAATGCAGGAAATGAAGTGTTTGACACTCAAAATCTGTACATCCTTGGAATTGTGCAATTATAATGCATATTTAGCACAGTTTGTGATGCGTTTTTGTGCAGAATTTTACCAATAAGCATGTCCTTTTTTAACTATTTCATTTTTGGTATTGCTGCTTGACATTGTTCTGTGCCCTTTTGTTAATTTTCCGCTCAAAATAATTCAACATCTTTAAGCTAAAACGTGGCCTAAACAAAACTATTTTATCATGGAGGTAAAGTAATTTAAGTGCTGTCAAACCAGCAGCAGATGCATTCATATTGTTCACTTTTCACACAAATTTCAGCCCAGTGCTTACTGGGTTTGTACTGGATTCTGCTAAATAAATTGAATTCATCCACCGTGACACAACTATGACTCCTTATGTAAAGTAAAAGAGGTGTTTGCTACTGTTCCATTTACCAAGCTGCCACTCTGAGACGTCTGCGAAATTTCTGAAGTTGAAAATAAGAATTTCAAGCAGAGTGATCACAAAAATCGCCTCTAAGAATTTGTTTTGTGAATTCAATTAGCTTTATCTTCAAAAGCTTCGACGTTTCTTGACATAGTCGGCTGTATAATGGGAGGGTATGAAGACATGTGTACATACCTGCCTGTATAAAAAATCTGTTGGTTGAAATTGTTAGTATGCCTAAAAAATAGAAAATATAATGTGTGTAATTTCCTCAGTGTTTGTGTTAAATACATATACTGGATGTTATGGTATAGAGATTGAGCAAACAAGGTGAAAATACTTTTTTTCCCTTTCAATGTGACTTTAAAGAGCCCACACTGCACTAAGCCTTGGCACACACCTAGCCCAAGGCTGCTGAATTATGATTTTTTTTTCCCAGCCTCCACCTCCTCAGCAACAAAGAGAAATACTGAGAGCACAAATCTTGTGTTAGTGTCAGTAGCAAATCCTTTGAGGATATAACCAAGTTGAGGTGTCAAAGTCCTCAGCAGCAAAGAAGAGGCCTCTCCAAAAAAAAAAAAAAAAAAAAGCCACCTGGAAACGTGTGTGAGGCAGTGTTAGACCTACAGCTTGATGATAATGACACACTGGAACTACAAACATGCTTTGACCCTGGGTGAATGCGGCGGAGGGGTTGCTATTCCGCGTTAGAAGTTTGAACCCTGTCATTTTAGCAAGTGAGAGATGAAAGCACTGCTCCTCAGGGCATAAAAAACATTTGAAATGCCCTTGAAAGCCCACAGGTAGAGTCAGTGGAGAAATATAACATCCTTGTCAGCTGGGCCAAAGCAAATAAAATGTTTAACTGAACTAATTCCTGTTAATAAGCTTCTGGAATGAATGTATGCTATATTAACAGTACACATTTTTCCCAGAACTGCATGCTACATAAATAAATACACATCAAAAGGCACATAAATTCCAATTCAACACACATACAACAGGGGAATAAGAAGGCATATAATCAAATATTCTACATAAGCAAATACGGAGAGGGTACAGGGAATTGAATAACTGCAACAGGATGCAGTTATCAAGCGAGCATGTGTCTTATTTTTTAATCTGTGTCTCATTTCTAAGTACTGCTGTCATCAAGAAGGATCAAAGTTTGGAGGAAGTGCCTTATTTAGCTGCATGATTATTTATAAGGGCCCCCAGAACAACATTAACATGGCCAAGTAAAACAAAACGCCAGCACGGTGTGTGCTGCTACAGGTGATTAATGGCTGATCTGATTATTGCCGTGGCTAATGACCCGATATTGATGGATGCAGCATCCGAACAGACCGGGCTCGCCTTTGGACAGCTCATACCTCCCAAGTGTGCCGCTCTTGCCACCAAACTACGTTGAAGGAATTCACAATTTTAGGTTTCTTTGCTGTTTCACTTCAATGCCTGTTTGTATCGGGGATTTTAAAATATTTTAAGAACAAGCAGTAGCTGAATTTTAAAATTAAACTACCAATCTGAATGTATTTAATGAGAATCCAACTTTAATCATGAGTTTACCTCTTAATCCCTACACCAAAACACAGCACTAGTGAGCAGCGCCAAATAATTTAAAGAGTTCATTATATTTGGAAATGCGTGATTTTTGAATTATATTCACGCCGAAAGTACAAGAATATGCTTCTAATTAAGATAAAAATCAACATTTTGTGTTTCCTTTTAGAAACTGTCATCAACAGGAGATAAACGACTAAATACGCAGAATTCCCAACGGGGTCTGGTGCCGAGTTCTCACACATGAACGGGAGGCAGAGGGTTTAACCCAAGGGTTGATACAGTGTTCGGGGAGAGTGAAGAACAGGCCTCATAATTACACTCCTCACCTTTGTTAGCTGTGCTATTTTCTTGCTCATCTTCAGGTGCAGGTCTTGGGTATATTCCATGGTGATGCCGGTCTGAAAGGACATGCTGCTGGCTGAGGATGAACTAAATTTCCCCTGACCGGCAGGGCAGTAATACTGCTGCCAACCCGACCCAGTCGCCATCTTCACGATGATGCTTCAGATGCTTAAGAGAGATATGGGCTGTAATAATAAAGTGGACGGTGTGAGGAGACGGCCAGCGAGCGGCGGAGGAGAGGACCGGGACAGTGTCGGATTCTTGCCACGACACAACACAAATTAATCAAAAATATGATGCCTTTTCAGCCCACAAACTGTTAAAAATTGGTTTCATGTTGCTCAGCTCCGGATAACAATAACAATAAAGGAGGAATTGTGTTATTTTTAAGCTCCAGAAACGTTAGCTACTACCATCTTGTCCGTTCAAAAATGTGTCCGTTAAAGCGGTCCGAGGTGCGGGTCCTGTCTGCTGTCACCTGGCGCTGATGTGGAGCCGTTGTCGGGTAGCTGACTGGCTCCCGGTCGGTCACCTTGATACCGAAATGTCTCAACGGGGGCTGTTAAGAGTGATTCCTCCTCGGTGCATTCCGGCTACATTGACGGAGAGTGTGTAGAAATTGGAGGTACGTGTGTGTGTTAGCTAGGGAAGAGTGTGTAGGACAGGCTCGGCGGTTGGTTGCTGCTCCTCTGTTGCCATGGATCACCTCAACAGTTTATGCTGCATTCACGTAGGATGGGAACAGCGCTACCTTCAGGTGCTGTGGGAGAAAGCGAAATCAGGACGGTGAGCACACGTGAACGTGATGAACATGACGCTGAATGCCAGATGTGACGTTCAAGGGGTGGGTGGTGTTGTGTGGCGATGTTGTGATTTTAATATAAATCACACTTTGAAGAAATTTAAGCTGTGTACTTGGATGTTTTGGGCGCGTGCATGAGAGAACAAACTCACCTGGCGTTTCTTCAAAATAAAATACCTCATTAGGTCTGAGACAAATGCAAACACACAGATTAAAGCAACTATATTATATACAGTATATATCAAGTTTATTAGCTGAACTTAATTATCACAATTAGCTGGTTTTAACACACTCATTTATTTGTTTTAAATCAGCTGTGGTTTCATCATATTGACCATCCATCTTTTTTTTCTGTGATAACAATATTCAAAAAAAAAGTTAAAACAAACAAAAAAGTGAAATAATATATTAAGAGGATAAATACAAATACAGATAAAAATACATAATGAAAACTATAATTTTGGTGCTGCAAGTTTATTTAAATACCAAATTTTGGCAGTAAGGCATTCAAAGTGCTTTACATTAAACTTTAAAATACAAGGTACAAAAGAAACACAATATAAAATGACATTTAACCCTTTGAAACCTGACAGAAAATCAGCCTGCTTTCTTTCAGAAACGTGGGAAGAAAGCAACAAGCAATGAAAGAAGAAATGACCCAAAAAAAATTGTAAAAAAATAAATTTAAAAACAAGAAAATTAGTTAAAAAACAAACAAACAAGGAAATGAACTGGGAAAAGTTAATTGTGAAATAATAATTGTGTAACATAATTTTAGATATATAATAATGATATTTATAAATATAGTTTTTCCCTAGGTTTTTTTTAAAAATAATTTTCTAAATCTATTATTTTTTTGCAATTTGTGGGACATTTCTGTCCAAGTTACTCATTGCCTTTTTTCCCCATCTTGTGAAAGGCGTCTCACTCAAAGTTTCAAAGGGTTAATTAGAAACGCCATTAAAGAGAGCTAGAGAGTACTGCATGTCTTAATATGTCATGGGCGACTGTGGTTAAGTGGGTTGTCCACTAATCAGTGGGCTGATCCCCAGCTCCTCCAGTCTGAATGCTGAAGTACCCTCGAGCAAGATACTGAATCCCAAATTGCTCCCGATGATGCTTCCATCAGTGTGTGAGTGTGTTAAAAACTGAGTAGCAGGTGGCACCTTGTATGGTAGCCTCAGCCACCAGTGTGTGAATGTGTGTGTGAATGGTTGAATGTGACTCGTAGTGTAAAAAATGTCTATATTGTTATAAAAATATGTAAGCTCCTCTGTCACTGAGTAACTATTGTTTGTTGAAAAGCCCAATAAATAAAGTTAAAACAACAAAACAGTGAGCCAATGTAACAGGGTCAAATATACAGCAGTAATATGTGTAACAAAGTCAAATGTACATTTGTAATATTAAGTATTAGAGTTACACAAGGCCTCCATAGTCAATTTGTGGAATGTTTAATACTCAGTTTCTGTACCCCTACATTCACCTTTGGGGTTACTCCACCTATAAAGGGGTGTCGGATGATTTTGTTTTTCACCTCCTTTCGCCTCCACAGATATCCACAGTCTGGGCCTCTTCATATCAACACAACACAGACAACATCAGAGTCTACTGGTTACACCAACACAAAGAATAATCTACTGGGGAAAAAAGTTATGGTCTCAAATGAAATTTTAGAATCAAGGCAGTAGTTAAGAGCATTTAAATAACTTTCTAGGGATGTCACAGTTGTCACAGCTGTCATACTGTAGTGGAAAGACTGGGTTGCAAGCTTTAAAAAACCTGAAACAGAGAAAGATTTTTATACCTAATAGTGCTATGATCTTTAGTTTTTCTCATCCTGAGTTGACAAGATGTTTTAACAATGTCACAGGTAAAACATTGAAAATTAAAGCCATTTTTCATGCTCGGTAGAAAGAAGGTTGAGGCTACATACCCATATATCATGATTACAAAAATCAATACTGACAGTGACACTGTATTTTGTCTTTGGATGTAACAATCCTGCACTTACTGTAGGTTGTCTTCATCTGTAGTGATACCAATATCTGCAATGTATTTCAAATGATTGTTACTCTACTAATAAGGTTTTACATTGATTGTGTTACCAGTGTTAATAAAGCATGATGGTTCATAGTCCAAATGTCTGAATCCATTTGCACGAAACTCAAAATGTCAGCTGCATGTTTTGCACACACTCAAGCTGAAAGCATATATGTAACATGTTAAATCTGCGCTATGCCATTGGGGTACAATGCACCTGCATATACATTTTGTACAAAAGAAAAAATACCACATAATGACACATAATGGACATGTAATGACTGTAAAGTGCTGCTCCATGGTACATTTTGTGTCTTTGTGCCTTGGCTAGAAGGGTCCTGGCTGACCTGAACCATCCAACACTATGCTACCTTTTTGCATGACATAAATGGATCAACTTAAGGATGTTTTCTCATTTGAATGTGTGTCAAAATCCTGCAAAAGACATTTTTGGTAAACATTTACTGTCGTGTCAGTAGCAGCCGCTGTCCTTTCATCTTCTATGGTTAAGATGATATATGAGCATCAAATCTGATGCTGTTCTCCTCGGCTCGCACGCCATTGCATGTTTTCATAAAGATTAAAACCGTGCCCCATCTGGTGTGTAAATGAATGTTAACTCTCACTGTGCCACTTCCTGTTTAGCCCCACAGAGATTTTAAAACATGACAACCTAATGTTGTCAAATGACCAGGACTCACTGGAAGAAGACATCTTGTATCTCAACGGGACCTTCCCGCCTTAATAAAGTACATACATACACACACATACACACAAACACACCTAACACAAAGTTTGTCCTCTTCAAAATCTTAAAGTTTCTTCAAAACAAAATAAAAAGTAGCAGATTTCCTATTTTCTCTCCTTATAGATTTTACCAGTGGACGTCATATAAAGATCATAGGTCATATGAAGTACACGTGTCTTCCATGGAACATAAATGCACCAGGTTGAATTCTAGTGATGGGACTTCATCTATCAAGGGTTGAACTTAGTGAGATAAAAAATTTAAACAAACTGAGTGGCACCTGCAGGCAGTACCTCACATCATCATCATCATCATCATCATCATCATCATCATCAGAGGGACGACGCAAACAGTTTGTCTTAATGGTTTCTATTTATGTGTCTACATGATTTTTGCAGCACTGTGAATGTTCACTGCATGTCAGTCTGTGTTTGTGTACAGAAATTTGTTATAATTCAGTTTCAGAATGTTGCAATTTGATGAACAACTGTGTCATCATTATCATCAGATTAGAAGTGGATTGCAATGTTTGTGTGATGAGATGATTAAAATGACAATGTTATTAAAGACACTTCTTTTCTTTTCATTAAAATAACACCACATGTACAGCTTTATAGAAGTTTTACAACTACTATATTAGATTTTTTTTGCAGGAGCCAAATGTACTAGGCTATTATGTTGTAGAATTTACATAGGGGTTAGCTGACATAAGCCTAATTAAACTGTAATCTGCACATCCTCAGGCATCTGCTAAACCTCTCCCTGTGTTGTAATTTTCTCCTCATATATTAGTAACTGTGGCTGGGCAATGTGAGTTGTAGTTTTCTTTTTTGCCTTTCCAAAATCAAAAGCACACAAGCTGTAGTGTAAAGAATTCAAAAGGGTGTTTATGTGCTCTAATGCAGGCTGCAAGGGACCTTTTAAGCCCCGCCCTTTTGAGATGGTCCAGCAAGCTGTTGGAGTGAGTACACTCCCTAAAGAAATATTATCACATTTTCTGCAATTCTATACAGAAGCAGACAGAGGGATCTACAGTCTGTGTTTGAAGGATATATCCAGGATGTCAAACTGACTCAGCAGCAACAACAGGTTAAAAAGACAAAGACAGTTAGAAGCTAAAGCCGAACTATAGGCTACAGATCACAGTGTAAAAGTGAACCACCACATCACTGCTGATCGACACAGAAGACAATGAATATAAAGGGGAACTTTGCTGATATTGAACCAGCTGTGTGGCATCGCAGTGTGTGCAGATGAACAGTGTTTGGCTTCACCCCCGTGCTGCTGCCAGCACCTGGACCTCTGCCGCTGGATGGGCAGGGATCTCCTGGGGAAGTCAAACAACTTTCATCTGTGCACACTGATGACACACAGCTGGTTGAATATCAGCAAAGTTTCCCTGCTTCCCTTCACTGGTTCCTGGACAAACAAAAACAGCATGTGTATATATTCAGTAGGCTATATCTTCAGTAGCTAGCTAGCTAACCCTACACTTTTCAGTGTCTGACTTTGGTTTTGGAACAGGGAAGAAACGTATATCTTTTTCCAACATCTCCAGGTAACAAGTATCATTAATACACGACGTGCCCCAGGCACAACATTTAGCTCCAAATCCACAAAACCAGTCTGAAAATGAAGGCAATCTGTTGAGTCAATAGAGCACAGCTGCGTTGTTGTCGCACCCTGGTATGAGCCAGCCCGATGCCATGTTATGATTGCCCATCTGCGTCTGAGGGCAGGACTTGTTTGCATGTCTGGCTAACCAGCCAACTCTGTAAAGGCCAATTTGAAGTTTCAGTGTCCGCAAGTTTCTTGTTTTCACAAGGGTCCACTTTTGTCTGTGTGACATAAATGTTGTCATCCACCCATGTCCGTGAGGGTCCGCACGGACCCCTATGTGGACATCTGAGTGTAGCCCTTTTTTTTTGTGACAGTGCAGACTGTACGCATTGTGTGCTGACTGCGTATGCTTTAGTCTCTTGTTACTTACTGATTTACTCCAGACCCAGCAGTGTCTTCTTAGTGTCACTTTCACCCAATGTCAGCAGTGGGAGGATGGTAAGCTCACATCCCAACCCTCCTGTTTACTGCTGGGGGCTGACGCAGACCCTTAGTTGGACTATGAATGAAACCACGTGCACCTGCATGACCGCAG